CCTATAAGTAAATGTTTGTTCAGCAGCCTGCTGAGCGCTAATTGTGATACTGCCTTCTGCCTGGGATTGGCTCCAATTCTCTACTGCTGAATAGCCCAGAACTTTCAAACAATTTCCTAATAAGGACCACATCTTGGACGAAAGAAGAATTTGTGGACCTTTTCTCACCTGCTACTGCCCAGGCACTTTCTGTTCTAACAAATCTAAGGTCATTACAGCAATTGTTCATAAAGAAAAGTCGTAATACTTTAAACAGTTTATAAAGTCTTTTAACTGTATATATTACAGCAAATGTTGCTTCCCACCAAATTCTACCCATTCTTAGTGTTTTTCTTTTCTTTCACATTCCCAGTCCTTCCATTTTCCAGACATGCTTTTTCCTGCTATTTTACACTTGGGCTTCATGGTTCCCTGAGACGTTACCCCTTCTTATACTCCTCCGTCCAACTGCAAGCTTCCTTCTTCTCCTCTTTTTCGCATTAGAGGATCAGTCCATTTGTCAGCCCTATTATTTCCTGTCATCAATTTCTTCCTGTATAGAAGCAGCAACTGGTGGGATCAGGTGGGCTCTTCCCCTTCCTTTTTTGTCGCCTAGCCTCTTTTGCAAGGAAGCCTATAAAGACAGAATTGGAAACCAAATGAAAAGGATGCTGCAGCTTGTCTGAAAACCTTGGTTCCTATCTCCCTGGCTGACTAAAAGCAGTCACAGTTTTCAGAAAAGGATCCTTTCTTTGCTAATTTTTTAAATTTAATTTTTGTAAGGGTTGTAACATTGGTCATCAAATGCTTTCTTATTTCTCAGGGTGAGAGGTGGTAAATGATTTCTAATGTAATCTTCTCTAAGTTATGCTTCCCTTATGAGTTATATTTACTTGATTTTTGTACAGGCACCCTCTCTTTGGTCGAAATGTCCCTCTTTCCAGTGGATCTGGGTTTATTATGTCTGATTCTGGTTTAATTGTGACCAATGCCCACGTGGTGTCAAGCACAAATGCTATATCAGGGAGACAACAATTGAAAGTGCAGCTACAGAATGGAGATACTTATGAAGCAACCATTAAAGACATTGACAAGAAATCTGACATTGCAACAATAAAGATTCACCCTAAGGTGAGTGGCATAAAGAGAAGAATGAATTAATTTGGGAACCTTATTTCAGTTCCATTTAGTACAGAGTGATTGGCTGGGATATATGTTTAGGGATTCCTTGGAAATATATCTGGTGAAAACAATGTACTGAACAAACTGTTTCTGTAGGCATGGAAATTTTTCCTATCTTATAGTTATATTACTTTGTCTTCTTTGCTAGGAACTGCTAAAAAAGAAGAAAAAATAAATGCAGCTCAGTCAATAATGTCACCAGATTCTGCTATCTTTACCTGAAGACCCAGGCTATTTTGGCTAATACTTCTAGCTTTGTGCCAGTACCTGGGCTGCAAGGTGGTACATAGTGTAGGGATAGTGGCAGGCTGGTCAACAGCTGGCCTGTACACTATTTTTAGGAGGAGGAGGGAACAATCTGCTGGAAAATGGGGAAAGCTGGTTCAGGATCTTGCTGGCTTTTTTTTTCTGGAGAAATTGCAAGGTGCTGCTGCGTTTGTTTCTGAAGATGGTTTAAAGCAGTAACGTCCTGCCAATGTTACCTGGGATAAGTTTTGGGTATGTGATAGTGAATTGCTCTTTCGTTAATGTAATGGAAAGTGTGTGTTGCTAACTTCTTGCTAGTTTTTGATCTTTCCGATCTGGTTATTTTCAGATATAAACTAATGCTTCTTTCTTTCTTTCTTTGTGTTTAAGAAAAAACTACCAGTATTGTTACTGGGACACTCTGCTGATCTGAGGCCAGGAGAATTTGTGGTGGCAATTGGAAGTCCGTTTGCCTTACAGAACACAGTGACAACGGGTATTGTCAGCACCGCTCAGCGAGATGGTAAAGAACTTGGCCTGCGGGACTCAGATATGGATTACATTCAGACAGATGCTATTATCAATGTAAGTACTAAGGTATGCAAGGAGCTGAGCTTCATAGTCCTGGGACCTCGAAATCCCCACCTGTTCAGCAGGGAAGTGTGTGCTCTGAAAGATGAATCCACTAAATAAAAGCAGCTTTGTTTAAAATCAGTGATAGGCTTATAAAAGACTATGCAGTGTCTGTAAGTTGCATTAAGGCATTAGTGTTGTGAAATGTATGTTAAATAAAACTGCCCTCTCTGAGGTTATCTATGAAGATGTTACGTATGACAGACCCTTCTCATTCTGTAGGTCTCATGCAGTAATGCATGGTTGTATAGACCAGCAGTAAATCAACTCATTTCTCTGCTTGTTCAGCTGAGCTGGCCAAGTAAGCTGTAGAATAGAGCCAAAGTTTCTTTCATCTCCATCCATTAAAACCAGATGGAGTAGTCAAGTTGATAGCATCTGCTTGGATTTAATGACAAGACACCCAGGTAAGAACTTAAGGAGAGGGTTGTTTTTTTGTTGTTGTTGTTGTTCTTGTTTTCCCTTTGCACATCACATACTCCAAGTAAGAATCTAGATCTAAAATAACAAGGTTCGAAATACTGTTTGGAGTTAAGGCCCACCAGCATTCAATGTTGTATAGAAATACATGAAAATAATATCCCTTCAGAGCAGCTTGGAGGCATCCAAAGAGCTTAAGTAAAGTCCTTGGGTGTGTATATAACTTTTAGTGAGTCTAAAAAGAGCACTGCATGCAGATCTGAGGTAGAACATGACCAGAAATTTTATGACTTAAATGTGCTATACATTGAAAGGAAAATATTTTCAGCATTTATTTGCTGGACCTCAATACCAAATTTGACATAAGTCATAATGCTTAGTTATGCGCTTTATAAATGTTTATTGTCACAGACTTGTCGAGAGAAATTGTACAGAAAAAAGAGGGTAATTATTTTTTGTGCTAAGATATGACATAAAAGTGAGCTTTTTCAGGAAGCTCCTATATGATTCAGGAGCTGAAGCTCTCAAGATATTTCATTGGAATTAGTTTCTGTAGCTGTAAAAGGAGAATGGGGAAAAAATGCAAAATGGGTTACTTGGGAACACAGATTGAATTGGTGGCAGAGACAAAATTAGAACATGGGATTCTTGAATTCATGCCTATACAAGATCGATCGAGCTGTTACTTGTATATACTTGGGCATTCACTGCCCTCAAAAGCTAATGAGCAAGTTTAGACAAGGATAGCAGAGTGTGTCAGATAATGCTAGACCAAGTGGAATAGTGATAGTAGAGGAGGTAAGGAAAATGACAATATACTTGAGTTGCTTTGCCCTCTGAGACCAAAAAATATGAAGATAGTCCCTGGCATAGGGATGCTTTGTGCTTAGCTAATGCACTAGTTTTCTCCTGAGAATGGGAGGAGTTTGAGAGCTGGTCTATTCAGAGCATTCCTGTGGCTCAGCCAAGACTTTACTGCAGGAATGTGCATGCAGCTGCCTTCTGAGAAATGCAGGACAGCAGGAACATGGGGCAGGAGAAAACAGGGCTCATACGTTCCTAAATGGAGCTATACTGCGTGTGTTATTCCATTATCACATCCTTCAAGCTGAGGACAAGTGAATGAAAGATGACATGCTGAGGAAGGATGAAAAATCATTATCTTGGTTCCTTTGTGTCAGTCAGACACAAAAATCAAGTGTGTGGCCTTTCATCACTGAAAAGATACAGTGTAAGAAACTGATCTCTTTGTTTAAACTCAAACTTTGAAGCTGTTCTAAAAACTTCAATGTCTCTTTTATTCTTCTGAGAATCTATAACGTTTGCCCAGTGCTATCGAAGTGTAAACAGTTTATATGGCTCATGTTGCTGTCATGCATCACTTCGCTTTTGTTTATTTTGAGGGGTAAGTTGCTGCTCTTGGCTGTTGAGTAGACTTACTTGAAAACTCTGGCCTCACTCAACCAAACTTGTCCATGTTGGCTGAACAAGGAACTCCAACTCCCATTTCCTGTAGTCCTGCTGGATGTTTCCTTTGAAGGCCATTAGGTATTAGGCAATTTCAGACTGCTCAGAGCTGCTATGTGCCCTCCCTAGAGAGAGGGTTGTGTGTCTGTGGTTACTAAATCAATCCTTACGTAGTACCTACCTCATAGCAATACACTGTGATTAAACGTGTAAAGCACTGTGTTCTTCTCTGGTGGAAAATGAGAGAGGCTGACTGTTACAAACCAAAGTGATGAATAAAACTACTTAAGAACTGTACATGCATGTCACTGAAATATAACTTTAAATAGCAATTAATTACTTCAAAACCTTGTTCTGACAGTCTTTAGAAGAGTCAAAATACTCATTTTAACTATTTAATGATTCTTTTTAAGCTTAGGGTCTAATTCTTTGGAGTGGTAAGTTGCTGCTCATAACTTAAGGCCTGTTTCTGAAAAGAGATAAAAATCTAATCATAAGAGGTGTGAATGGGTAGGGTAAGACCCACCTGTAATCTTCTGTGATCAATATTGTGTCCTTCAGTGCTGCCTAAGAAATGACCTGTTCTCTTTCATTTACTTCCAAACAAAATACTGTTTGAAATGAAAATTGCATTGCCTACAGTGAAGCAACAATTTATTGTTCCCTTATGTCATTTTTACAGTACGGGAACTCTGGAGGACCTCTAGTTAATCTGGTAAGTCCAGGTGACTTGATTTTTGTTTTGTCTTGTTTCAAGAGCTAGTTTGGAATAAGTGGGAGAATTTTTTTTTAAATGACTCGTAGGTCGTACCAGCTTCCCGTCATTCAAGCTAATGGTACCACAAAGCTAATACAAACTATGCAAATTAGCTCTCAGTTCATACACCATTGAAAAATATTTCCCCACAGAGCAGAGGAAATTTTACACAGTAGTGAGGAAAATGGGATCTGGTAGGAGCAGTTATGCTCGTTCACACAATGCAACCTGGGATGCACAGCAAAGATGGGACCTGGTTAATCTGCACAGCTGGTTTTAAAATAGATTGCTTTAAACCATCATGGATTTTGTAGGTCGGTGAATTGTGGCTGTAGTGGTAGCAGTGACTCCATTGCCTGTTCAGCGGAGGGAATCTCTTGCCGAGTAGTGGGACGGACCTTGGATGAACAAACTGTACTGTAATCTCTTTGGCCATCTCAGTTAAATGCAAAAGGGATTGTGAATCAGAGCCCAGATCCTCCCTTACAAGTAATGTTTATTTCTTGAGTGATTACAACACTCTAAAATTTCTTACACTGGCTTTTAACATGAAATGCTAGGCAGTGAGCTGAACCCTGTCACTTAGGAGCAAATTAATTGGGTGCTGTCTCACAACAGGATGGTGAAGTGATTGGGATTAACACCTTGAAGGTCACAGCTGGAATTTCTTTTGCTATTCCTTCAGACCGCATCACTCAGTTTCTCACAGAGTCGCATGACAAACAAAGTAAAGGTAAGGTCTGCAAGAAACAGTGACATCTTCCAATTATTATCCTGGCCTGGTGGTGAGGTGCCAAAAGACATGGGTCTGGGATCCTGTTACTGAAAGGAGCAGCATTATTTTACAGTGTAGAACACCACAGACTTGGAAACAGAAAACAACTTCACAGAAATGGGAGAGATGTTTTATTACTCAAACCCCCAAAGAGTAGAGAGTATCTGTACAAATCTGGGGAAAAGGGCCTCTGAGGATAGTGAGGACCTGGGTGGGTCATTACAGTCTCAAATGAGCTTGAGAACAGATGGTGATTTTGTTCAAGGAGTCTTATCTTCCTCTTTCACGTATTGTCCAAGCAAAAAGGAGATTAAGGTGCACTGTGGAGAATAAGGTAAAAACTTTTTAAAACACTTGTCCATGGATAGAGTGTAGTGTGCACTATCAGTGGATGATCTTTATTTTGCCATGGTCATCTATGTCGATGCTATATAATTGGTTATTGTGATAGACTCTCAGACCCCAGTGGAAGAAGAGCTGTGTGCTAATTCCTGAAGAAATACATGGGGAAGGCAGGGAGAGGCAGAAAAAAAGAAAGGCCTCTGCCCCAAAGAGCATATAAATCTAAATATGCCAGCAGCTGACAACTGTAGTACTCTGAGCTTTTTTTATGTGCCTGCCTCTTATCTGTCACACTGTACTAGGTGTCATACTACATGCCACACAGCCAAAGCTCATCTAGTAATGCGTCATCGAGGCCAAACCTTCCTTTCTCTTTTGCTTGCCAGTTTATCTGTCCACACCCTACTCATCTTGTATCATGACTGTTGGCTGCTGCTTTTCTTGAATCTTTTTGGTATTAATCTTGTCTTCTCCTCAGTTTATCCAATTGCTGATGCCAGGGCTGTTTCTCTACACTATTTTCCTCTCAGTGTTCTTTCAGATGCTGTTATTTCAGAAACTTCCCTTAGAGGTTTCAAAGCTGTGCGTCTGCTTGTATATTGGAGACCATCACAATTCTGATGGCTCTCCTCATCTGTGTTTTGCTGATTTCCCCAAATTACGTTGTTTTCACTTGTTGATTTGGGGCAGGGGGGAGTGGATGAAAAATGTTGTTAATTATGTGCTGAAAAATACATTTCAAATTTTGTTTCAGCCAACAAGTCAATAAACCTATTTCTTTACGCTTCTGAGAGAAGCAGGTCTGTATCGTTAGTGGTGTTACCCCTCAGAACCAAACTGCTCATCTCAAAACAGGGAGGAGCGATGTCTCGCCCTGCAGGCATGGCTCTAGAGGCATGAACACAAGCCTTGTGCTGGAAGCCCACCATCTGCTAGTGGGTTCCTGGTAGCTAGGGCTGGAAAGTCAGTGAAGGCTAGAGATGCCACCACTGAAATCAGCCACCTTGCTCCTTCAGGCAACTTTGCCTCCAGAAATTATGAACCTGCTGAGCCCAGCTAGAGGGCCTAGAGATAACTTTGCCTGTGGAACCCTAAGAAAAAAAAGAAAGATTCAAGTTTATCTTGTGATTGTAACATACTGTCTGATTTTTTTTCATCATTCTCATTATCCCCTAATGGAAGGAAAAGGATTCACACTTCCTCTTAGCATCAGTGTGACCGCCATTGCTTGGCATACGCTGGGCACAGGCAATTTTTTTTTCTATTATTTTTTAAATTTTTTTTTGCTTTTGCTTGCCTGAAGTACCTCTTGTACTTTTGCTGTAGGCAGTAGAACAGTCATTTAAAGCCCTTGATGCAGAGAGAAAGAGAATTTCTAGGATATTTTCACCATATTTGAGACTTTGTTTGCATTTCTTAGGCCTTTAGTAATAGTTTTCAGGTTTGTTGTATAGACGTTATTTCTTGACATAAGGAATTTATGTAAGCAGAATTTTTAGGATGTTTTTGTCATGTTTTCTTTTGCTCCAATTATGTTTCAGTAGTTTCAGTGGGATCCGCCCTTTTGGTCCAATTAGGTCATAGAAATAAGTTTAAGTGTATTACCATTTTGCTCTAAATATCATATTGCCTGAAGATGATAAAATTCCCTTAGGAAACTGCTCTTTCCAGATTTACTCTGGCATATAGGAGATAATCAAAATATTGTTTAATAAGCTTGACCGTAGTCTTTTAAATCTCAGTTGATCAGATAACTACCAGTGTATTTTTGAAGTCCTATCCATTGTATATAACTGCAAATATATGACCTACTGAAGTACAGGAGTGGAGGGGGGAAAAAGCAGGAGAGGATGGCGTTTGAATGAGTTATTTGCACTGGTAATTATTATATAAACATTCTATATTACTTAACGCATGGGTCGTACCTAATAATACCTAATGTATTTTGGACCAAAGATTTACCACACTCTGCGTAGAGATATTTATCTGTTGAATGGTCTGAAAGCCTGTGCTAATTTTGGTTTTATCAGTAATAATGTTAATCTCCTTTTATAGTTAGGAGTTCCTAAACTGGTACATGAAGTTAAGTGTCTCCATCTATATCTCAGTTTTAACCATCTGTGGGTTCTGTTTTTACCTCTGGAAGTCATCTATATACTTAAGCAATGACTGTTTTTTCCTTCCGTCTCTTTTGTTAGTATCCCATAGGAATGTCTCTGTTTCATTCCTGGTTCTGCCATCTACTCATAGTTTAGACTTGAGCGGACCAGTAAAACTAGAAAGTGTTCAAACATGGATCCTCTAGGATGGAAGACAGTAAGTTATCTATTTGACAAAATAGTAAAGACAAAATCCAGCCCAAGAGGTCAGCCTGGCCTCTCATACAATGTTAGCAGAAAAGTGAATAGACCTTCTTTCAAATGGGCAAGGAGAAATGGGGGCAGTTCTGCGTTGGCAAGACATCCAACAAGTCATTTATATGAATCCAGAACACTTACTAGTTGTGTTGAAACTATATGCTTACCTATGTATTTGTATGTTTATTACTGATAATTATTACCAATAGTCATGAGGAGGCTTGCTGAGTGTAGATTCAGACTACTGATTAAATTCAGCTATACAGTTTATATGGAAGCTACACTGCACATAATTCAGCATTATAGACTCGAGCTGTTTTCATGGTTTCTGTTTGGCAGTGGAATATTTGTCTTAAATGCTTTCAGGACTGCTCATGCAACCTGCAAGACAATCTAAGTGCAAAAGGAGTGAGCAGAGAAGTAGGAGTTTTGCCTGCCGCTTGAATAAAAAATGCAGGATTCATCTCTTCACTCGGAGATCTTGGTGATATCCTGGCCGCACTGAAATCAACTGCAGTGATACCCGTGTCAGAGTTACTCATGCCCATAAGAGTTTGAGTACCTGACCCCTTAATTTGGATTTATCAGTTCTTTTTGCCACAGTTTATAAGTCATAAATACTTCTGCCTTCAGCCTGCATTTACCTGTCTGGTTTGTATCTCTACTGTTACAAGCGTCAATAAAAAAAAGAAAAGTTTAACAGTAAAGCAGGTGCTTTCCTTACTGTGGATCAGAAGTCTCTGTAAATAGTGAACTGCTTCTAGATACTTGGGTTTAAATTTAAACTAGTGGTTGAGGCTGGTTTGCCTGACTAATACCACTGGAATTAGTATTTAATCTGTCCTGGTGTTTACAAAAATGAAATGTGATTTGAGTATCTCTCTGTCTGCTGTGCTCTGCTCCAGATTTAAGCTGCAATGTTTTCACATTTGTTCAACCTGATTGTTCCAACATATTAACCTTCTTTTAACTACTGCTGGGACTTCACCCTGGTGATGTGCTGCTTAGATTTATGACCGTACTTTATTCCAGTTCTCCTAATCATTTTTTCTTCTGCCTCATGATTGCACAAATTACCAGAATGACAGGTTTTGAGACGTTTTATTCACAGAGCAGATGTAATATGACAGTGGTAGTTCCAGGTGCCACATACTGTTCTGCCAATGTGACTTAACCCTGACGTCAAAATGCCTATCCTTTGGGGATGATAAAACACTATAACTGGTTGTCTGTGGCTGTTCGGTCTCTGCTGATACTTCTAATAAACTGGACAATTATATTCCCTGTAGTCATTGTTGATGAAAACTTCGGGGGTTTTGCAAGATGTTTGACTTGTGTTAAATTGAATGGAATGGACTTTTCCAAAACAAAAGGCCTGAAGTTTTTTTACCTGTGTTCTGACATATGAAATGGCTGGAGGGTTGGAAGGAATCTAGACTCTGCTGCTAAAATAATCCATAGCTCATAGCTGTTCGTTTTACTTTATATGATAGCCCGCAACTGTTCTAGTGTGAGCTGCTATTTGCGGTATGGCAAACTTACTGTGAAGAGAGGGTTGAAGGCCATTTTGAATCTTAATGCATGAACAGGAGTGAAATAATACCCCAACCTGCCCAAAGTTGAAGACAGAATGAGACTTCTAGTTGTGACTAAGTCTGTAGTTACCAAATTTATTTCTGCCCCCCCCCCCTTGGCCTTATTTTTACGTGTATCGCTAATCACTGGGGAAATAATTCTCTTTTGGATCAGCAGCTTTTCTACTGTGGTCTTTCATTTTTGCCCAGTCTGCTCCTTGCTCTTTTGTTTCTCCCGGACCAGTTTCTTTTATCCCTTCCTTCATTTTCATTTTTCTTTCATGTAAACATTCCCATCTCAGCCCCCAGAGTATGCTTTGTGCTTCTGCATATTTCTGCATCACACAGGCAATGACCAGCAGCAAACTGTTTAATGCAAACAGTAACTGTCACCAGAGAGTCTGTTACCTATGTGTCTCATGAAGAAAACTTCATTGTTTAACTGTCCACATTGCAGGGATGGGGGGATTATTTTCAGGTGGGAGAACTATCATGTTTGGATATTTTAAAGTGAAAATCTACATTTATGCCATGTAGGCTAGGAGAGCAGGATGAGCACAGTGGTTCACGGCCATGCTCAAAGCTTTTGAGACTTAAGTTTTGAGTAATTTGACTTCTTCATGACACTCTTACTATAGCTGATTTTGATCTCATTAGTTTCACTTTAAAATAGAGGAGAGCCAGAACATTTCAGGGAAAAGCAGGGATGACAGTTACAGATGTAAGATTGTTCAGAGTGTCTTAAATCCAATGTTTAGTAGTCAACATATTCACTGACACTGATGGGAATATTGGACATCTGTAAAATGCAGGACTAATTCCTTTACTTGGGACTATTTTTCTTGGAAAGAATAAGAGTTGAAGGAGACTGTACATCTCCTTTTCAAACTTCTTCCTCACATGAAACATGCAGAAGCTCAAAGAAATAGTATGCTGGAACAAGTAAGGGGAAATATTGTTTCATAGTGGGTATAACTAACTACTGAAGCACTCACTTCAGGAAGTCATCAAACTGCATTTTTTTCATAAGACGGCTGTACAATATCATGACTACTAAAAGCCAACTACAGAAATGTCGTGCTGTTCCTAAAGGAGTTAACTTTCACCATTTAAAATTCTGAGGAGTCCTGGCTAATCATGGAATCATAAATTTTTGGAGAAAGCTTAGAAAAAAGCATAGAAAAAACCATTCTATGATTGGTAGAATCATAGAATGGTTTGTGTTGGAAGGGGCCTTTAAAGGTCATCTAGTCCAACCCCCCTCCCATGAGCAGGGACATCTTCAACTAGATCAGGTTGCTCAGAGCTCTGTCCAACCTGACCTGGAATGTTTCCAGGGATGGGGCATCTACCACCTCTCTGGGCAACCTGTGCCAGTGTTTTCACCACCCTTATTGTGAAAAATGTCTTCCTTATATCTAGTCTAAATCTGCCCTCTTTTAGCTTTAAAACCATTACCCCTTGTCCTATTGCACCAGGTCCTGCTAAAAAGTCTGTCCCCATCTTTCCTGTAGGCCCCCTTAAGTACTGGAAGCTGCAATAAAATCTCCCCAGAGCCTTCTCCTCTCCAGGCTGAACAACCCCAGCTCTCTCAGCCTGTCCTCACAGGGGAGGTGTTCCATCCCTCTGGTCATTTTTGTGATCATTTTGGATAAGGTGTATGTTTGTGTTTTTTAAAAGCTTGCTATTCATTCTTTGGGGTAGAAATAACAATCCATTTGCATTAGAATCAGTGTGAGTCTTTTGGTTGTCCTTTCTCTGAAAGATGGAAATTTTAATTTCTTTAAATCCCATTTCTACATTTTAATGAGGATGCCATAAGATTAAATTGTCTTGACCAGTTTCAGATTAAATGGTATTTGATTACAAAATTTTCCATTTACTGAAGTCATGTGATACTAGATCACACAAATATTCCTGAATTTCTTGAAGGAAAACTCTTACTGAGTGTAAATGAGTTTCTTACCCTCACTTGCAGGGAGAGGGATTGTTGTTCTGTACACCAAGGCTAACAAAAATAAAAAAATACCTCATTGTGGATGTGTGTGACTTCCGTTTAGTTTTGTTAAAAGGTAACACATCCTGTTCTAATTGACAGGTATTTTGGGTCATCAAAGTGGTTATTTTCGTCAGGGTTTGCCTAAACTTCTTAAATATCCTTTGTGTTATTTTCAGATGGGAAGAAACGTTTCATTGGCATCAGAATGCTGACAATAACACCTGCGTAAGTATTTTAGAAAGGTAATCTGTTTGATCTTGCATACAAGATGTGGTCAGTAGTGGTTCAGAACTTCATCATTCAGCTTTCATTAGAAATCTCCAGAGAAACCAGAAGTGTGCATTAGCTTCTAGGAAGTCTGCAAATATTTTAATGATATTGGTGAAATACATGTTCTGAGACCTGGAAAATCACCATCAGTCATTCTTTAAATACTGATAATGGTAGATGCCCTGTTGATAGCTGAGGGAAGTTAGGAAAAGCCTGAACACTGATTTTGGTTCTTGACAAGGATGTCTGGAATTACACCAGGTTTTAGGTGACGTTTGAACAAACTGCTGCTTTCAGGTGACCGTGAGTGCCAGTGACAGATTAGCTGCCTGATTTGGCGGCGGTTTTATCAGTGCCAGTGGAGGCCATAGGATGTGAGATTTGGTGCCTAACCATTAACTGGAAAGAAGGTAGCTGCTGAAGTGCAGAACTAAAGCTTCATGCCTCCATGTTAACAAAGCCAGAATATAGACACCCTCTTCCAGTTCTTTATTGTCTTTTCCCTCTCACCTTGCTTTGTGTCTTGCTGTTACCCGGGTATATTCTGGGAGAACAAATGAGGGCTCTTACACTTGTGTTCTTTCCCAGCAGTAGGCACGTTTCCAATGTGGCAATACACTACAAAATTGAACGTGATCATTTTCAGCTGGGGTTGTAGTAAAGCCATCTTGGTTTATTGAGTTACACTCTTGCGATCCTCCCCAAAGGGTCAGATCCTCAGCTGGAACGAATCAGTGTGATGGCATTAACATCACCAGGCCACCACCTGCAGAGAGATACTCAGAATGTTTCTCTGTGTAATTGTGAAGTGAACATAATGTGAGATTTTACTGCTTTTGTGGCATCTAATGAAGCAGTGTAACATGTCTCCAGGCCCGTTTCCAGAAAAAGGCTACTTCCCTTGGTGTGTTTGCTTTAGTCATTTAATTGTTAGGTTCCTCAGTACAAAATCAAATGAAGTGAAGCTGTGTGCAGCCATTTTGGCTTGCTTTCCATCTGAGGGACCCCAGGTTTTCATGGCAGATGGCAGATTAATCCATCATTAGTTGAAAACCCTGTCTTTCTAGAAATGGGGTTTAACTCACACTGTACATAGACCTGAAAAGATGTCGTCTCCTCAGAAATGAGAGAATGTTTTTCGAGTCTCTATTTTGCGGCTGGTTCTTGTCTTCTTTCTTTAGAAAGGGATGCGCAAACAATTCCTCAAGAAAACTTGAGGAAGCTGATGTTTCCTTGGAAAACTCTCACAGTTCTGATCTATCTGATGACTAAAGTTCTCAAAAACTATATTGTTCTAGATAAAGACAAATTAAAAGCGACTTGCAAAGTGAAAGCAGCAAAATAGTTAGAAAACTTCTGCCCCATGACCAGCATTAATTCTTTGGGGCAGGAATGTCTTTTGTCCCTGTACAGCCCCTAGGACAGTGCGCGTTGCTGTCCCTGTGCTCTCTCTGCCACTGTCCCTCTGCTCTTCTACAGTGCCCTCTGTGCTACCGCCACAAATAGCAAAAGTCAGGTTCTTGTACGAGATCATTAAATATAACGTTTTGCACAGGTAAGTAGTTTTGACTCTTTTAAAATCTATGTTACTTGTTTTAATCCAGATTCAAATCCCCTACATTCTCATCACAAGAGCAAGGGGCAAACAATTAAGTCATTCATTTTTTGGCCACCAAAAAATTGAGAATTAATAAATAAGAATTTTTGAATGCTACGGCTTTAGTAGTGGAATCAAATGCTGTATAATTTTGTTCTTCTTTTAGCTTGGTGGAAGAACTGAAACACAATAATGCTGATTTTCCTGATGTCAGAAGTGGAATTTATGTACACGAAGTTGTTCCAAACTCACCTTCTCATCGGTATGTATTATTATTGTAATATTTGTATTTATATTCAAATACTTCCTCATACCAGTCTTGATTTGTATTTAAACAATTAAAAACTGTTCCTTTAGGTTAGCACAAATATCTTAACTTTTTTTTTAAGATTCTACTCACATCTACAAAAGTGAAATATTTCAATATCAGAAATTTTTAAGTGACATTATGCAACACTAACAGTGCAAATTTAAAGAATACCCCAAATACAATGAACTGAATTTTGTTTTTGAAAAGTATGTTGTATATTAATAAATAGAAACTTGGATTGAGTTTAAACAGGAAACAGGATAGCATTCACATAAGACATTATCAGCTATTATCGGAGACAGTGTTTTGTCTTAGAGGAAGAGACTATTTTACCGAACAGTTGGAAAATAGGTAAGACTTCTAAAAATTACTTCAGGAATTATTAAGAAAATGCAAAGGCAATAAAAGCAGCTATTCTGGATTGCATTTGAACAGCAAGAGGAAAATAATTTACCTGTAGTTCAGTTGGTACACTTTGCTTGTCTTGAAATTTTGAGAGTGGTTTAACTTCCAATGGTTGAAATACATACTGGAGAGATAAAAGCATGTTTTCAAGTGGATGGAGTGAATCAGTCATGGCTAAAAGTCTTTTCTATTTCTCCTTTGCTGTAGTTTTGTGTAAGACAAAGAGAAAGCTAGATTACTTTTACTGTCAGTGTGTTTTTGCTGTTTTAGAAGAAAATCCTCAATGAAATAATGCAAGCCTGATTTTGCATTTAGTGAGTACTGATGATTATTCTTTCACAGTCAGAAAGGTGGAGTTTTCCTTCAACAGAAATGAAAACAAGTAAAAAATTATCACATCAACCAAAGAGGTGGCAAATAGTCTTTGCACTTTTTCTCTGCATAGAATGTGTACTTACTGCCTTTTTCTTCTTTGCAGAGGAGGGATCCAAGATGGAGATATTATTGTTAAAGTCAATGGGCGTCCTTTGATGACTTCCAGTGACCTGCAAGAGGCTGTGATGAATGAATCACCTCTACTACTTGAAGTTCGAAGAGGAAATGATGACTTGCTATTTAACATTGAGCCTGAAATTGTCATGTAAATAGAATTGAGGAAGCTCTCACCATAATTAAACTCACTTATTCTGGAACACTAGATACCTCCTTTACAGCTACAGTAATTAGACTTCCTGTTGACTAATGACAAGGTGGACTAACTTAATTGCCTGAGCCATTTCTGTACATAGTAGCTAGAATGAATTCAGTTATGCCATTTATAGAAGATTTAACTTTCAAAGAAATTTAAGAACTGTGTTCTGGGGAGGGGGAGGAGGAAAACAGATTTTGGGTAGCTGGCTGAAATAGGGTCCACTTCCAGTTTCTGCAGGTTCAGAGCAGATTCAGTTCTGCATTTTGAAAGACAAAAATACTGCTGGAAGTGAGGAAGCATGCAGAACAGGGAAATTATTCTTAAACTACAGTCATGTCTGCAGCAGAACCAGGCTATTGCAATGCACAATTGAACTTCTTTTATATAACTTTTTCAATGTGAAACTGATATTGGCAAAGCTTGTATTTGTTCTTAGTACTTGTATGCTACATGTCAGTGCAGGTAGATTAAATCTGTAAATATCGAAAGGAACAAAAATGGTATCAGGCTATAGAGTGTTACACCTAGGTCATGCGATTTTGGAATATAGTAAATGATTCTTATAGAATTAATGCCTTATTATATATAAATCAAAACGATGTGCTGAACAAAGTTAAGTTTGAGAAAGTGCACAGTTTTTTAAGAATTTGATACAAATTAGTTTTGCATTTTACTGTTAAGCTTTGCTGTAAAATTGTTATACTACTTTTGGCTTGTACTGTGTATGTTTCTACTGTAAGGAGATTAAAGTTTACACAAATAATGCGTTGGTGTAAACCTCTTTTTAAACAAGTACGTCTTCCGCCTCCTCTTCTGTCAGACAGGAATAGACTCTTCCCAAGAGAAAATTTTCTTACAGAAAATTGGGCCCTGATGTTACGAAAACCCTTTGCATGGTATAATTATTCTGTCCTTAGACTATGTTTAGACATGCTTTGCACACAAGTAATTTATTTACACTTTTTTATATTTATGAATTGTGCTTTGAAGTCATTTAGAGACAATCTAGTTGGGATCCTGTTGTCCTCAATTCTGCCTGTACGTGACAAGAAGCAGAAAGGCAGCACTATTAACCCTGTTTTACAGTTAGAGAGTATGAGACCTTTATGTAATAAACCCAGGACAGAAATTTCTAAGAGCTAAATCCAGATCTCTTTAGTACCCTAAACTGCACAACAGTCTTCTATCCTAGCAAATATTGCTACTGGTCCCAAAGAGACAGAGGAATGTCTCTTATCTATCTGGAGCATTTCCTACAGCAAGCTGTGCTTCCTAGACTTGGTTCTTCTGTCTTTGTTTAACTCCTTTTTGCATCAAAGTGTATCTTTGGGGCATCTAGAACCTTCCCTTTAGGTTGCCATCACATCTAGACTTTCTAGCTATACCAACAGACTTGTTTGTGACAAGCCTTGCACCGCTGGGTCTGTAAAACACCAGGCACAATGAAAAGAGCAATCTGTTCATTACTTGCTGGCTGCCTGTGACTGCAGCTATACAGTTGACAGGTGGATGGAGTATATTCCTCCTGAGAATGAATTCTGGTTCTTTCCATCACATTATTGCCTATATCTTTAATAATGGTGTGATGCCCACTAAAAGAAGAGCTGTTTTCATCCCTCCAACAAAAGATAAAAGATACTTCGTTGTACCGGCTGAGTATTCCATATTCAGAGGGACCAATTCCTTTCCATTAAGGTAAAACCTTAGCATCCAAGCTTGCGAAAAGCAAAAACATGTTCTGAACTTTGGCTAGCCGTGGCATGCAGAAGGATGCTGTCCTGGCTAAAGTCAAGCCTATCCATACTTGTGTACCACGCTAGGACTACCATTTTGTGAAGGGTGTTTGAGACTCTGTGTCTCTCGATTAGTATTAGATGAATTAAAATATTTCCATGAATTGGTTGCTAATTATTCAGATTTTTGACCAACAAATTTTTTGTTAGGAGACCCACAGAGTCGTTGACTTCTCTTATTATAAGAGAAGCTTTTTGGCTTCCAGATAACAGTGATGATTTTTAATTAAATTGCATAACAACTCTTATTACAATAATATTGAATAGCACTTGACAGTGACATAGCAGTATTAAAATCAAAACAATAAACTGTTGTTGGCACTGGCCAAGTGTCTTGGCTTTTTAATGATGACACTGGAGGGGAGAAAGGCTGTTTCCTTACTCATCAAAAACTGTTGTGTTCTACCAGGTTGCCCAGAGCGGTGGTAGATGCCCCATCCCTGTAAACGTTCCAGGTCAGGTTGGACGGGGCTCTGAGCAACCTGATCCAGTTGGAGATGTCCCTGCTCATTGCAGGGGGGTTGGACTAGATGACCTTTAAAGGTCCCTTCCAACCCAAACTGTTCTATGATTCTACCAACAGTTCCCTTTTTCTAAGCTTTCTCTGACAATCTTGAGGAGCTCGCACATCTTTGGGTCTGCAAGTGCTGTTGCATTGTAGCGGATTTCACTCTGAGGGAATAAAGGTCAGATGAGGTTCTTTTGGAAAGAAAGCATTGTCACTTCCTTTGGCCACAGGAGCGTCTGTGTCATTTCAGCTGTGGTGTGACCCTTAACTGCTGAGATATAAGAGCAGACTTTATTAATTGCTACTCATCTCCCTGACATCGGCCAGAGCTGCAAAGGTTAATTGCTTGGTCTTACGCAAGAGTCAGCATCTACTGTTGCCAGCAGTTAACATTAAGTCTACAACACAACCTGGCTATCTTTGTTTCTTGGCTAAGATAAAATAAAATGGCAGTCGGTGTCTAAAACAAAACATTCAGGCAACTTTTCTGTTATAAGCAGTTACTGACTGTGTCTCTCAGGCAAAAAAAAAAAGTAGTAACAAAAGTGTGATCTTGATCTCTCAGAGAAACTGGCAGCTGCAGCTTTTCTAAGTCAAAGTTGGGTCAACAAGATGAATGTTTATGGTATTCATTAGTCTGACCACTCTTTTATTACCATGAAGATTTCTAAAGCTTCCTCATTATTTCTGCAAGGCCTAATCAGCAAAATAAGGGAAGAGAGGGCTCAGCAATGACAATGCGAAAGACATGAGCATTTCAGGGTGTTTCTACAAGCAAGCCAACCCCTGCAGGGGAGCTCCTTCTCACCTCTCCTGCCCACCCGCACCTGCTGTGGGGCCGAGCAAGTTAAAGACAACTTTTAAGGCTCAATGTACAGTAGAGGAATGAGATAACACCATGCATAATATTATACCGTTTGGAAACAGAGGTGGGGGCTGTAAGGAAGACAAAGTATGGGAAACAGGAAACAAGAAAGGGAAACAGTGCAGAATAACAAGAAAAAACTATATTCTTAGGAGACAAATTTTAAAGAAAAGAAGATATGTCTTTTAGTTTCTTTCATATAATTAGATGGGCATAACACTGGGCCAGACTGCCGTACAGCTGCCAGGTCCTTGAAGACCCGTTTCTGCAGGAGTGGCATCTTACACTTATCTCTGCACCCTCCGAGCAGTTTGGGATGGGAGGGAAGGGTGACATCCCAAAACACCAGTGACTCTCCCCAAGAGAAACTGATAACGGAGCACCACGTAGAAGCTCCTATGGCTGATTATTTGTGGCTATCTGCTCCCCCACTACACAAGTGCTCCATCGCACTTGTACCTCTGATACCGGTTAAAAAATATGATGTCACTGGAAAGAGAGGCACTTTCTATTTGCAAGCAAGGAAAAACAAGGGAATTCCTTCCCTTACAGGGGATCCTGTAGCTGTGTCAGGGGACTGGACATGACGAGAGGTGCGTGAGCCTTGGGGCTTGCCTGCGTGTAAAAGTTTGGCAAAGTGAGCGGGTGATTTGCGGGCTGTGCCCATGACGCTGCGCAGAGCACTCTCATGGCCCAGCAGTCGTACCTGCTGCAGGTCCGGGAATTTTGGCCTGCAGAGATGTGAAAAGACTTGAAAAGGCTGCAAAAATGTCACGTATAAGATAGTGCACAGGAGTTCTTCCACATTACCTCTTCTCTGCGTGCTGTGCTGTATGTTCTGCAGGAGCTACTCTGCACAGCCACACACCCGGCCAGCAGTCCCTCCTTTCTCTACATCTCTGTGACCGCCTGTGCACCAGCTAGTCTGTGCAAAGCTCTTAGCACGGCTTCTTCCACAGTGGCTGTTTCGCTCTCCGCATTTTGACCTCCGCAGCAGCTGCTCTGCCCTTCTCCACTGGTTTTGCACCAGCTATTCTGTACCACCACATATCCAAGACAGCAGTCTCACACTCTTTTAGTTTTGTTTTGACTGCTGGTTTCTTGCTTGAGGCTTTCTTGGTTTAGCAGAAATCTGGAAGAAAGAGGAAACTTTTTTTTAATTCCCAGGCTCTGAAGTCTGGAGTGCTGTGCTGAGCATTTCAAGTCCGTAGCATAATACTAGGGCAGTGGGTGGATGACAAGTTTATTTAACCACAAGACACTGCAGGATATAGAAGGTGATGCTGCCTCTGATTAGGCACCACCAGCCAGGAACTGGTGTTCAAAGACATGCAAGGTTGAGAGCTTATCCCAGAGAGGGTGTATATGGATAGTATGGGTATGGTTTCTATACCCACATATAAGACTGAAGTCTGAGGATTGCTCTGAAGTGGGAAGAAGACTTAAAAAGGGAAGGGAAAGGGGGTGTAGCATGTTTATTTTATTTTATTTCCTTTATTTACTTGGGTTTCTGTAATCTTCATTTAACTGGACATGCCTGGGGAAAACATCCAGGTCTGTGTTTGTTCCCATCCCTCTTCCCACAGTAGGAGATTGTTTTTGCAACTTTGGTGTTCTGCAAATAGTAGATTTGGTCTTTTATCCAGACCTTCCCAGTGCTTCTGTCAGCAGACACAGCCTGGTGGGGTTTTGCTGCAGAAGAACTTTCCAGGTCATACCATGGGGTGTAAACCTCGGCAGAATGAAGAACCACCAGCAGTAAAGGCAGAGTTGCTTAGAAGATCTTGCTGGCTGGTCCAATTCTTTATCTTCTGGCAAACATGCGAGGCAATGTTATATTGCAGTTTTCTACCAAAAATGCTCAACAGTATAGTCACTAGCAGTGAACTAATGCTTGGGAAGCACAGACAATGGGTACGGGAGTGGAGCTTCAGGCTGCAACAGTCACAAACAAAAAAAGAGGAAAAAGATATTTATTTTTTCTCTTTTGAATTTTGCCCTCTGGGGAGAAAGGTCAGACAGAGCAGGTCCCCCTCCATCCTCCCTTCCTCTTCCCCTCCCTTTCTGTCAAAAGGCTCCCCCGGAGACAGTGAGAATATGTCAATGTTAAACAGCATTTTCCCTATAAAGATCTCTGGAGAGTAACAGAAGCAACTGCTCACTCTTTCTTTCTTCAACAAACACTGGCCAGGCCCTCATAAATAGCCAACTGAGGCATAGTCAGGAAAAAACAAGTTCTTAGAGGAAGCAGTCGCCAAGGAAAATAATTGGGCAGCACAAGGGGTTTGGTGACGCAGCTGCACAGCTGCGAAGTTCAATGACTTCTCGATTGCCTCCATCTGAAGTTCTGTTCCACTATAAAATGATCCTCTATCTCTGTAACTATAAATAGCTGGGCACGATGATTTGCTGCTTGAAATCCCAGAAGCAGCTTGGGAAAACACCCAAAACCAAAGCCTAACAACTAACCCAACACACAACAAGAAAACAAGAAGTCTTCAACTATCTTCTCAGTAAGATCCTAAATATCAAAGAGAGACATTGGAGCTAGAGAGTATAGTGCTAATGCTTTTGAAGATGACTTTCTAATATCTCAGTTGGTCAAGA